GAAATCCAGGGTCATGCTTATCCCTAGGTAAAAGGTCAGGGGTCAGTCATAGGGAAGGACACCTAGTAAAGGACACCATGTGGACATGAGGCTATTTAAATAATGGGGTACTCAACCCTGTCAACAAGCCCACTAATAAGCCTGATGAAAAATAAGAGATTAAGTGGATTCTGGTCATCTAGCATAAAAATAATTAGCTCTTAACTGCATTAAACAATATCCCAAGTTGATAAGATTTCTAGAAATGAGGATCTCTGAAATAGACCCTCTTAGAACAAAGTGTAGCCTGTGAGTCCCCTAATCCTGTGCTGACTCCCTTGCCTGCTCACTCACTCAGTCTCTCAGCACCCAGTCCCCTCCCAGGAGCTGCTTCAGGCCCCTGCAGCAATGCTGTTTCCTTTTGGCTGTCACTGCTCTTGTATTTGGGGGCTGAAATGAGGCATTGCTGCCTCTCCTTGAAGTGTGATCTGTGTCAGAATATTCCTGCTCTCCCCACTGAAGACTTGCCATTGGAAGCAGACAGTCTGGACAAGACGTTCATTGTGTGAGAGGTAGACAAGGGCCTGTCAGCAGGGCAGTTCATTAGGAAAGGCAGAAACAAGGCTACCCAGTGTCTACTCCATCAATCTTGGCTCTACTCCTTAATTGCTGTGCTCTGTCCTGGCTCTCAATCCTGAGGGCCCAAGCTCTCCTGCCCTCTGGCTCACTGTCCAGCCTTCTTTCAACAGGGACCTGGGTACAGGGCTACCCCTTTTCCTCTGAAATATTTTTTGGGGGCTGTACTGGGGTTTGAACGCAAGGCCTCACACTTACTAGGCAAGTGCTCTACCACTTGAGCCACTCGGCCAGCCTGTTTTGTGTTGGTAATTTTACTATTTGCTGGGGCTGGCCTTGAACCAGAATCCTCCTGAGTAGCTAGGATTGTAGGTGTGAGCCACCAGTGACTGGCTCCTTTGAAACATTAATAACCCTTTACCTGGGGCTGGAAGCTTGTGAGGTCATTTTACGACAGGTCTTGTCCAGTCAGCTCAATAGTACTCTAAGTGAACCTGCCATTGACCATTAGACTAATGGAAGGTGACTTACCCAAGGTCACACAGAGAGTAAATGACAAATCTGGGACTTGAACTTAGGTCTTCTGACTGCCAGTCCCACAGTCTTCCCCCTGCTTCAGGCCACCTTGGAGGATCACAGTCTGAGGGTGGGTGCAGCTTTTCCACACAAGACCTAACTGGCCAGGCCCAGCTATAGGACCACCTCTATTGGTTAGAATCTAGGAGGCCAGAGGCCCAGGTTCAGTTCCAGGTGGACTTTATTTTGTCCTCAAGTCACTCACTGGCATTGTCTGGTTGTCCCACCCTTAGTCGAAGGTATCCAGGACACAGCTACAGCCCAGGGCAATTGCTTTCACAATTAGAACGTCCACCTATGCTACTGATGGGGGCTCAGTAGTACTATACTAGAACGATGGTGAGTGTAGGACTCTCTGACCACAGCCATTGGCTGTATCAATGCTTCCTTCAGACTTGGACAACTGAGGGTTTCTCTGGACGCCATACTTTCTTTACAGGATCCCTCTGTTCCTGTTTGCCATATTCCTTCACTTGAGGTAAGGCATCTGCAAAGCCAAAGGGACATGCTTAGGCACAGACCACACCCTTTTTACCCCAAATGCCTTCTTAACTGCTTCCCAGGGTCTGCTCCTGAGAAGGCCTGAACTGCTGGCCTGAGGAGAGAAGCAGAGGCCATAGATCAAGGCCCAGGTGCCCTTCCCAGTAAAGGATGGAGCTGGGGCTTGGGCTCCATGGACCTGAAACTGATAAGGACCAGGTTGTGAGCCAGAGACCTCAGTTAGTCTCATGCTCTGCTGGTTCTAGGGCAGACCTAACCAGAGGGAAGAGGAGCTGACACCAACAGGCTAGCTTCTCCTGGAAGTGAGGGCCTAGTGACCAGAGAGAAATGACTGTTCAGCTTGTTAGGAAAGCCACGGTTGTGGAGTGAAGGTGAGGTGACTATTCCTAGGCCACAGATGAGGTGCATAGAGCAGATTCCTCACCCGCCCTCCAGGTTATCATTTTTATGAAGAACAACCACTGGTTGAATGCTTGCCAGATTCTAAATAACTCAATGATCAATCCTGTACAACTCTAAGACAAATAATCTCATCCTTAATTTAGAGAAAAGAGCACCTATACATTTGCTTAGTATTGGGCTGTGACAGTCCCTGACAGCAGGCTCACTGAATCATTCAGTAAATAGGTGTAGTCTGTGTCTCAACACCATAGACTCTTCTGGGCTCTGAGACAGAGGGAAGCAACTCCCAGTCCATCTTCAAGAAATGCAGAGCAAAGTCAGGGACAGTGGCACACACCTGCAATCTCAGTATTTAGAAGGCTGACGCAGGAGGATTACAAGTTCAAGCCTAGCCTGAGCTACACAGTGAGACCCTGTTTCAAAAAAAAGAAAGAAAGGAAGGAAGAAAAGAAGAAAAAAAGAAAGTTAGCAGGGCTTGGTGATGCATGCCTGCAATCCCAGCTACTTGGGAAGTGGAGGCAGGAAGATTGTGATGGCAAAGGTAGCTGGTGAGACCCTGATTCAAAAGCAAAATAATAAAATAAAAGGACTGAGGGCTCAACTCAAGTGGTAGAGCACTTGCCCGGCATGCACAAGGCCTTGGGTTCAAAAAAAAAGGAAGGAAGAAATGTAGAGCAGCGAGTCTCAGACTTGAGCAGCACAGAACTTGGCTCGAGTTCAGGCCCTGGACTTTCTGAATCAGCAGGTCTGGGTAGGTGCATTTCTCACAAGGTCTGGGGAGATTCTGATACCGCTGGCCCAGGGACCCCACTTTGGGAAATGTTTTGGTGGAAGTTGGGGTGATCAAGATCCCTTCTCTGAGCTGTGAGGAAAAGTGGATCCCAGCACACAACCTCCCCTAGGCAAGGAGAAGGAGAATGAAACAAACCTCAAGTGAAACTTCCAAATGCCACAGGACACTAGATGGTGGCGTTGTTAAGGTTGCTCCAGGACTAGGAGGTGAGCAGAGCAGGTCAGGTATTCTGTGCACTGCATATCTAGCTCTGTCCTCTGGGCCCAATTGCCTGACCCTCTAGGTTTCTAGATGTCACTTTGTCCAGGGTCAAACCTGGCAATGTGTTCAGGGATCTTGTTGCCAAGCAGAGGCCATGCCAGAACCCCAGGAATGTCTTTTTAAGTCATTTACCTTTGATTTGGGGGTACATCAGGTAGCACAGATGGCTGTGTTTGCATGAACTGAGAAAGGGCCCTGTGAAGTCTGCTTTTTCTACTTCTGCAGAAATACCCAGAGGATGATCACTGAGGAAAGCTGCTGTTAGGGTCAGTAAGTAAAAAATAAATACAATTGCAAGATTGGCTGGAATCGCTGAGGATTAACTAACTAATTAATCTCACACAGTTTGATGAGGAACGAATTAATCTGTTAAGCACTCAGTGACAAGTGCTGGGCAGGCAAGGCCACATTCATGTCTGGAGGCTGAGGCAGAGCACAGTTCTCCTGTGAGGTCTGCAGAGAAGGCACAAGTGAGGACCACCTTCTCCAAAGGCTTTGTCTCCTGTGCATCCAGGCTCTGCCTCCCAAGCTGATTCTAGATCCAGACCAGAAACCAAATAAAAAGTTCTAGGGAAAAGCTGCCAGTCTCCACCTCTCCAAGGATTGGCTAAGAAGTACCAAGCCATGGAGTGTCGGAGTTGGAAAAGACCTCAGCCACCGACTCCCTCCAGCATACTTTACACACTGGTTTTTCTGACATTCCATTGGGATCTAGAGAAGATGGTGTTTCTATCTGGTCATTTCTATTGAGCACCCAGGCAAGGGGAATTCCCATCTCCCTTAGGTGTTGACTTTAGCTCCACCCAGGAATTCAGAAGATTCTGACATCTTTCTTAAATCACATCAATGTGGTCTGATTAAAACTAAGATAATCATTTTATCTTTATGTGATTTTGTAAGCTTTGTTACAATGCAAGGCTGGTCACAACCTACAGAGATATCTTCTATTGTGACCTTTTCTGGTGTCCTTTAATCTTCTGTACCCCTAATGTCCAGTTCTCCACATTACATCCTGGTCTCTAGACTTATCTGAGAGCCACCATTGGGAAGCATCTACTACCTTGAACCTTTCCCAGGGATGGTTTTTTTTCTTTAGATTGTTCTCTCATTACAAACCAAGGGCTCTGTAGTGTAATCAGTGAAAGAATCCCCCAAACTAGGAAGCATGCACCAAGAAATTGTGGGTGGCCAGGCCTAGAACCACAAAATCGGGCAACTTGAAACAGAGCCACTAAGCAGCATGCTGACTAGGGGTCATGTCACACATACTGCTTATAACACACTGGTATTGTGTGCCAGACTGGGTTCCAGGTACTAAGGGAGTAAGGTTGGGTTTGACATGAGTCTGTGCCCCCAAGGGGCTCCCTGCCCAGCAGAAGGGAGGAAAGAAGCAATGGTTACACTGAAGTTGCCACTAAAGTGTGATGAGTGAAACAAGGGACCACTGCCAACTCCATCCCCACCCCCTAAAGTGGGGTCATGTCATGGGGCTGACAGGCTCTATAAAACTTGCAATGCTGCCATGAAAAGGAGTTAGGGAGAATATTCCATCCTCTGTGAGCATTGCCAGGAGGGCTTCTTAACACCCAATTCTGGGCCCCTGTGCTGGAGATCTTTGATCTAGAGGTCTGTGGTGGAGCTCTTAGTGTTAGTGCTGCTTATCCAGAGAGCACAGTTGGAGAACCACTGGACTAGAAAGTTCTGGTCAGTCCAAGGCATAGTGAGGGACACCTCCCAACCCAGAGTTCTCCAGCTGCCTCTATGACTATCGCTAGAACCAGCTGAGCCTGGCGTCCACTTCATAAATTCCAGCAGACCTTTACTTTCCTACTGCATCTATATTTTAATTAGTGAGTTGCTTGCTCAATCTTAGAGTGACTTCTTTATCTCTCTCTGTTTATTTTTCACCTAGAGTGAAATGGATGAGACCCAAATCCATTTGGCTGGAGATGACGTGGACTTGCCAGAAGATCTCCAGAAAATGGTAGATGAAGACCAAGAAGAGGAAGAAGATAAGGATTCTATTCTTGGGCAGTTACAGAACCTCCAGAACATGGACTTAGATGCCATAAAAGAAAAAGCCCAGGCCACCTTCACGGAAATTAAGCAGTCAGCAGAGCAGAAGTGTTCTGTGATGTGAGGGGCAGGGTGGGTGGAGGGAGGGAACCAGGCCACCAGCAGGAGAACAGCTCTCCTGCTCCGAGTGGCATTTCCAGAAGCATGCATTTTAACATAGTGAGCACGGTTAGGGAACCCATGATGATAAAGCTGCCTACAAACACATAGACAACTTCAGCAGCCTCCATACTCCTGGAAAGCACCTAGCTAGCCCTTGCAGTGGGAAACACACTTTCCTTTCAGCTTTGAGTAAGAAATTTCAGCTGTAAATAAATGGGGATATAGAATATTTATCTGACTAAATATCTTTAAGTCAGGAAGAAACTAACAGAAGCAAAAGGCATTTCCTCTCCAATTTTCTTCCTTAGAGGACAGGGTTTCATCCTGTCCAACAGTTAGCATGATGACAAATCCCCAGAGAAAGATGCGGAGGGGGGAGGGTGGCCAACAGAAGCCAAGGCTACACTCTACATTGCAATCAAAGGTCACACCACCTTGTGCTACCAGATTCCTCAATGAAGAAGCATCATTGATCCATCTCATTGATGGATGCTTCTCATCAAATGTGGCACTTGGACAAGTCTCAGCCAAGTGGAAGTAACAGGGATGTACCAAAGATGAGAAATGGAGACAAAGCATAGACTTCAGCAGCCCTTTGTATTGGAGATTATCATTGCAGGTGCCATGTGAAGAATGAACTTGAGGAGCCAAAATTAGAGGCAGAGGGATAACTAGGAAGACTATTGCCATGTAGGAGTGGAGTGTCATCCTCTCTTCTGAACTTGGTGACAGCAATGGAAAATAGAGGGGTACACAAATAGAATATTAAGAAGTTAAGCCAAACTCTGTGTCATTGTCTCCTCCCCACCTCTTTCTCATTCTCTCCCCATTTTACCCCCTCTCCCTAGCTCTCTTCCTCTTTCCTTTTCTGTCCCTCCCTATTTCATCCCTTCATTCCACCTTCCAACAAATCACACAGGCACTCTGCACCTCAGTCTTCCAGGGTAGACACTGACATCTGTTCCTAACATCTGCTCTCTCTCAAAAGGGATTATTTGAAGATTTGCCTCTGTAACCCTTAGAGCTATTTAACCAATGTCAACCAAAACAGTGGCTTTTCAGCGAATCTCTTCATAGATTAATGTTCAAGAACAATTTTACTGAGAAAACTGTTCTACTAGAGAAAAAGGGAACTAAGACCAAAAATTCAGGCGCGAACCTGTTCTGAACTGAGTTCCCGAATGTGTTGTGCAAAAAAGCAGCTTCATGTTATAAAAATGTGCAAATAAAAAAATTATGGGAGTTACAAAACCTGTGGTCCTTGGCAAAGGTTATCCCCTCTTGGAAGTTCCTGGGGAAAAATGCTGTGATGTTTGAGGATAATTAGTCTTATACTCCACAACCCCCAAATATTACGGACACATTTTAAGACCACACTTGTCTCCTCTCACAAACTGGCATATGAGTTTTGTAGGAGAAACTTTAAAATAAGTGCATTGTTTTATAAACTACAAAATAACATATAAGACTTATATTCAGTTGATGCCCTATCGTTGACAGAGTTGTGGGATGGTTGGGGGAGAGGGCCTGCAAAGCCCTATGTTTATACATTTTGCTATGACATGTATGACATGTGACTGCCAAATTATCCCATAGGCCAGCTACAGGATGGCACAGACTTTCTTTTAAAGATGCAGCCAACACTGTTAAGGACATCGCCAAACTGGCACTTCGTCTTGACAACCACAATTACTCCAGGCGTATTTGGCCACTGTTCCAATGGAGCTGCATAACTGCTAGAAGGTTGGCCACAAATCTACATGTATCATAACAAGCCACACCGTACCACAGCACCCCATCCCACCCCATAACATAGTACTTCAAATCATATGACAGCAAAGAGTACATCACGTAACACTGCATCATGACACACACTGCACCCAAACTACCCCTCACCACACCTCAGTACACCACACAGATCACACCATCCCAGTCATCCCAATCAATACTAAATCTCACGTGTACGGGATTGGGAGGCTCTGTGTGTTAGGATATTCAGAGGGCCCCTTTCCCTCTAGGGAGAAGATAGGTATCTATGCCTTGTGATGCTGGTGGGCAAAAAAAGGTCTCCTGTCATCAAAACATAGACTCCAGCAATTTTAAAAGGCTAGAAAGGACTCTACTCCAAACTCCCATATACCAAAGAAACCCCTCCCAAGATGGCTAAATCTAGCCTTATCCAACAGCCCCGAATGGTGCAGAATTCATCATCTGCTATTCTAAGGGAACTCAGCCACTAGCCATTCCATTTGCAGACATCTCGAACTGGTAGAAAATCCTTCCTGTCCTAAGCTCAATGGGCTTAGAACTATGACCCATTTGTCATAGTTCTGTTGGATGGGGCTACACAAAGTAGACCTAATTCTCACTTAGGTCTTTGATGATGTCCCCAGTCAGTTTTCTCTCTTCCAGGAAAGACATCCTTCCTGGTTTTAATCAATTCTCCTCATATAGACTTGACTCTGTTAACCACTAGGCATCACCGTCTTCCATCTCTAGCACTTTCTTTTTTGTCTTTTTCATTCAATACTGGAAACTCAGGACCTCATGCTTGCTGGGCAGATGCTCTACCACTTAAATCACTCCACTAACCCCATCTCCAGCACTTTTTCATCTAATCCAATAGAAATTCTGCACCCTCCCCACCAGCCCTTAGCAACTACCATTCTACTTTCTGTTTCTATGAATTTTTTCTTGCTCATTTGTTTTTGAGACAGGGTCTCACTATGTAGTCTAGGCTGGTCTCAAACTCACAGTCTTCCTGCCTTAGCCTCCTGAGTGTTGGGACTACAGGCTTGTGTCACCACACCCAGCTTGTCTCTATGAATTTGACTACTTTATGTACCTTACATGAGTGGAATTACACAACACTTGTCTTTTTTGTAACTGACTTTCATTCCTAGCATAATGTCTTCAAGGTCTGTCCATGTTGCAGTGTATGTCACAATTTCCTTCCTTTTAAGCCCGAGTAATATTCCACTGTATGTGTATACCACATTTTGCTTTGGTCAACATGGGTTGCTCCACTTTTTGGCTATTGTGAATAATGCCACTAAGAACATGAGCATACTATTATCCATTAAGGCCTTACATTCTATTCTTTTAAGTCTATATTAGTGGAGCATCTCTAGGCTTTTCTCTACATTAGAAATTCAGTTTGTAAAGTTACAGAGATTAGTCTTGAGGAATGTTATAAAATTTGGAATACTATAAATTAAATTCAGATTTGTAACTCTTGTTAAATAAAGTTTTTGCCTTTTAAAAAATTTTAATATGGAAAAATTTCAAACCTAGCCAAAAGTATAAAGATAAGTATAACAAACACACAAATTTACCTTGCAAAGCAGATGCTCTACCACTTGAGCCACATTTCCAATCCTGGCTCTGGTTATTTTGGAGATGGAGTCTTATGAACTATTGCTCTGGGCTATTCTCAAACCTTGACCTCCTCATCTCAGCCTCTCAAGTAGCTAGGATTACAGGCATGAGTCACCAGCACCTGGCAAATTTATTCTTTACCCAACTCCGAAGGGCTATTATCCTTGGAAAATTATTGAAAAACTGTATTTTCACAACTCCATCTATAAACTAAACACATCAGTCTTGCTGGTGTCTAATTTGTGAGCTATGAAAAGATAGCATGGATGTGCAGAGTGATGTTTGCTTATTTTTTCAAGTCATTGCAGAAACCCTTGAAATGTCCAAGTTGTGTTTTCTAAAAGGTCATTCACTTAACTTACAATGAACATGCCTTGCAAGGTGCACCTAAGCTCCTAACACTTGAATGAAGACACTTCCGGGGAGCATCTGAAAGCCCTATTGAAATCATCTGGGACTAATTAGATTGGTAAGGACATATAGGATCAGCACTTTTAGGGCTTAAGAGGTCAAAGGAGAAAGCACAATAAAAATGGGCAGAAATATTGTCCATAAAGCTACAGTAAACCTCAGAAGTAAACTAAAGAGAGTCATCTGCAGTAGAGTTGCAGGAGCCCCTTTGGAGAAAGAATGGCCTCCCCCAAGATGGTGTGGGCTCTAAGTAAAATGGCAGTGGTGCTACGTGGGAATGCCATCTCCTCACATAATGAATGCTCACATCAAAGGCAGTGGACAGAATCCCAGCCAGCGCTGATGCTAACGAGACTGGAGTGGACTGGCATGCCTTTTAAAAGTGATCAAATGATTTCTGTGGGCTATTGGAGAAGGAAAGCAAAGCAGTTTGACATTTGCCAAACACATGGGAAATAATTAATATGTTAGAAAACACCAGGTGACTGAGGATAAGAATGTGAAAAAAAAAGGTATGTTTGTGTCAATTACCAGCTGTGTGAAATAGATAAATTGCTTAACTACTTCCTTGTGTGCAAAATACAGTTTCTTATTATTAAATTAAATCAACCATCATCATTTACAGCACAGGTTCTAGGTGCTGGGGACCCAGCAAACAAGGCCCCTATTTTCATATAGATTAGATTGTAACAAGGAAAGACAGGTAGTAAGCCAGTAAACCAGTAATATGGAATATAGGTTTGAGCCAGACACCAGTGGCTCATGCTTGTAATCTTAGCTACTTGGGAGGCTGAGATCAGGAAGATCATAGTTTGAGGCCAGCCTGGGCAAATAGTTCAAGAGATCCCCATCTCTAAAATGATCAGAAAAAAATGGGCTGGAGGTGTGGCTTAAGTGGTAGAGTGTCTGCTTTGCAATGCAAAGTCCTGAGTTCAAACCCCAGTCTCACGGCAGATGCTATGCGAAAATAAAATGACAATAAAGAACATGTGAATATTGAAGGAAGGGATTTCCAGGAAAGAGAACAGATGGTGCAAAGGATCTGAGGCAGGAAGGTGCTTAGAGGATTTCAAGAAGAGAAAAAGGCCAATGTGGCAGACTATAGCTCAGTGAGCATGGTGGAGAGGATAGAAGAGAGGTTGTAAGTGTTGAATGAGGTGGTTTGAGATGTAGGGGAGGGGT